CAAAAGAAAGAAGAAGAGGAATTAAGAAATCTTGAAGAAGAACAAATGAAAGAAGGAGAGGAGAGTGACAATGAAAGTAGTGAAAAAACTAAAACAAAAGAAAATGATGAAACGAATAAAAGAAATGAATCAGAAAGAAGTCATTCATCAAGTAAAAAGAAAAATAATTCAAAAGGAAAAAAGAAAGGTTCAAAGAAGAAAGGTGGAAGTAAAAAACAAAATGTTTCACCTTCTATTAATGAACCTAAAAAATCAGATGTTTTAGAACCATCATCTAAACCACCCTCTCGTCCTATTCCTAATAATAAAAGAAGAGTAATTATTGATCCATTAGAACAACTAGAAAATAATGTAAAAGACTTACACAAACTATATTTAATGCTTGTAGAAAAAGCTAATATTCAACTCCAAGTATTAAATGAACGAAAAATAGAAGTTCAACCAATAGTATGTCAATATCCAGATTCATATTTTATGGTTGATCATTAATTTGTATTTTATTTTTCATTTTAATTTTTTATATGGTTTTAAAATGATTTTTTAATATAAAAAATAATAACTAAGAGAAAAGTAACATTTAGATTTAATTTAATTCATCAATACTCATTGTTTCTGAATTATCATCAATTTGGATTGGTAATGGTTTCCCTATTAAACCAGATCTTTTACTTACTTGAATGAGTAAATAACATATAATATATGATGTTATAAATACAAAAACTTCAATGTATATTATTACTCTCGTTCTACGACGTTTGTTTGTTGATTCTGTTATTATGTTTTCTTCAGTGCTGCTTGTTTCTAATATTTCTTTTAATTGACTAGAACTTTGTGCAGAAATAACTTTATCAGCTACACTTGTTATTTTATTTATCTCTTCAGATTCTATTGGATTTGACTCACTCATTTACTCAATTTTTATTCTTTTGTTCTTTTTTTAATTTTTTTTTTGTGTTTTTTCTTTTTTTTTATTTATTTTTTAACCTAAAAAATCTTATATAAATTTATTGTTTATAACAATTAGATTTAATAAATTACTGGAAAGAGAAAAAAAATACCCTAAAATATTAATTTTTTGTTTTAAATGACATAAATTAATTGATTAGAATCAATTAGAAAGGGTGGTTCATAGAATTTAATCTTAACAATACACGAAGAATAGTATAAAAGAATAATAAAGAAAGTACAAAAAGAATACTCCAAAGCAGAATAATCGATAGGCGACAGGTGCTTAGTAAAGAAGAATGATGAGTTTTAGAACTGTCAGATTGAGATTTTATCATTTCTATTTTTTTCTGAAATTTGTTAGCCTCTTTTGTAAAAACAGGACTGAAATTATCGACTCTTTTGAGTAACCCTTCATACTCATTTTCACTGAAGTCATTTACACTAAAATCATTTTCACTATGAGAAATATTGTTTATTTCTTTAAAGAGATTTTCACTTTCACCTTTCTCCATTAAATGACTATTTTTTGTTCTTTTTTTTTTTCTTCTCATTTTGATGATTAGATTTTTTAGGATTTTATCATTCTTTGTCTTATTTAAAAAAAAAGAAATACTATAAGACTGTTAAACAAATATAAAAAGTTTAAGAAAAAAAGAAATTCCTATCAATCAAAAAGGTTTAAACAATTGTAGAACGAATAAAAGTAGGGGTATATCTTTATAACCATTTTTATAATTATTGTAATAGTAGTACTAATTATTTTATTCTATTTCATTGTAAAATTTTTTAACAGTAATTTTATTAGAGCAGATAAGCTGTCATAATAAAAAATAAAGGTGATACAAATAACATCAAAAATTAAAGAAAAATAAAATAAGTAAAAGAAAATTAAAAAGAGAAGTATAAAATCAAACATGGATTAGTGAAGCAGAACCAGTAACAAGATAAGAATGTCATTTAATCAATTTATAATAGAATAAATTAAAGAATAAATAGATAATATAAAAAGATTATTAAAAAGAAGAGGTAAATTATAATTTAATTTTATATTTGTTATTATAATGAAATAATATAAAGAGTTGATTAATAAATATATCTTGTTTCATTTAATATTATAAGATATTTTTATAAAAAAGAATGTTAATAAATTATATATTAACAATTTTATAATTCATCAATATAGAAATAAAGGATTGACTTATATTTTTAACTTAAATATAAATAAAATGCCAATATAAATTAATATATATAAAATATAATTGTTATTGTTTTGATAATAAATTAATTAGTATATTATTAACATGATTAATAAATATTTAATAATCAATAAATTAAAAGGAAAACATTAATATTACACGTAGAATATTTGTAACTGTATTAAAGTGTTTTAATTAAAAGAATATTGATTTTATAATTATTTTTGAAGTAAATAATATAATATTATATAATTCAAATTCATTTTATTCATTCAATAATGGATTTCATTGTAAATAAAATTGATTTGTTAATTAATGAATAATATATTATAAATAAGAATTGCCAAAAAATATTTCTTTATTATTGTTAGTATTTTATATTTCAGAATAGTTTTTAAATGGTTTTTATAAGAGAAGTTATAAATAATGAAGCAGTCATTTCATGTGATTATGAATATACTATAATTTAATGAATAAAAGAGCTTTTTTAACTTTCCTGATTGCTTAATACTAGTATAAAAATAAATGATGGTAAAAGGTTTAAAAATAATTTCATTAATTATTGAAATTAATGGATAATTATTCAAATAGTTAACAATGGCAACGAAAAAAAGCAAATAATGAAAAAGAAGAGAATG